ATCTTATCTTATGAGGGTGAATTTCCTTCCATACAGATATTTATGGAATTTCTTTACTCCAAAAATTATGGCAAGGGCCTCTTTTTCTATCTGGGCATACTTTTGCTCAGCTTCAGTTAATGTTCTTGATGCGAAAGCCACAGGCCTTTCCTCTCCATTTTCAATGACATGAGAGATGACTGCGCCCAATCCATAAGGTGATGCATCGCAGGCTAACTTCAATGGCAGATTTGTGCTGTAGTGGACCAACACTTTGTTCTGCAGCAGTAGACTCTTTGCATCCCTGAATGCTTTTGCACATTCCATGGTCCAAATCCATTTAGCATCTTTTCTCAACAGGTTATGCAAAGGCTGAAGAATGGTGGATGGATTTTCCAAAAATCGACTGTAGTAATTTAGAAGACCAAGAAAGGACTTCAGTTCAGTGACGTTTGTTGGTTCTGGTGCATTTGCTATGGCTGCTACCTTTTCCTCTAAAGGATGCAGACCATCCCTGTCAATATGATGTCCCAGGTACTCCACACTGCTCTGAAGAAAGTGGCACTTGGAAAGCTTCACTCTGACACCATGCTTCTCCAGACGTGTGAGTACTTCCTCCAACCTCTTCAAATGATCCCTTTCAGACGAAGCAGTGATGAGGATGTCATCCAAAAAACAGGTCACATGATCCTTCCCCTGAAGGATTTGATCCATCACAGACTGGAAAAGAGCCGGAGCACTGGAAACACCATAGCTGAGGCGATTGTACTTATAGAGACCTTTGTGTGTGTTGATGACCAGATACTTCTCTGATTCTTCATCTAACTGTAGCTGCTGATAGGCACGAGAAAGGTCAAGTTTACTGAAGGATGTTCCTCCAGCTAAATTAGCAACCAAATCTTCACTATTAGGAAGTGGATATCTTTCCTGTTCAACACACTGGTTGACACTGACTTTGTAGTCACCACATATCCTAATTGTTTTGTCTGCTTTCGGTACAGTAACAATAGAGGATACCCGATCACTTTTCTCAGCCTTTGAAATAACCTTCACCTTTTCCAATCTGTCCAGCTCCTTTTCCACAGCTTCTTTTAGTGCATAAGGAACTGGGCGAGCTTTACAGAAAATTGGTGCAGTGTTTGGTTTAGTGTGGATTCTAGCTTTAAATCCCTTTATGCAGCCTTGGTCATCCGAAAACACTGCCTGATGGCGCTGAATCACTTCTAGTACTCCTGGCTTTGCTTCTTTCTGCACCAGTACCTTGTGTACTGTGAAAATCTGTTTCCAGTTCAGCTGTAGTTTCTTTAACCAGTTTCGTCCAATCAGAGCTGGTCTGTCTCCCTGAACAACGATCAGTGGTAGGGTGATGTTTTGAGTCCCATACTGTACTGGTAACATAATATATCCACGCACAACAATGTGTTGGCCTGAGTAGGACTTGAGCTTTAGCCCACTGGCTGGTTTTATAGGGAAATGAGTGAGATGCATCTGATAATACTTGTCTGATACCACCGACACTGCTGATCCTGTATCCAGCAGCATGGTGGTGTTCTTGCTCCCAAGCGCAACATCCACTGTGTATCCCTTCTCACTGGAGGTGATGGAGTACATTGAATATACTCCAAAAAGTTCAGCTTCATTATTCCTACTTGAGCATTCATCCTCAGTTTCCAAATACTGAGTTTGCTGACTGAATTTTTTATTCCTGCAAGCACGTGCAATGTGTCCTATTTTTGCACAAACATGACACTTTTCACTCTTAAATTTGCACTCACGTGCTGAATGCTTTCCACCACAACAATAACATGGTTGCTTCATTCCTGTGTTTTTTTTAGGTCCCTTCCAGTTCTTTGGCTTGTTATTGCTCTCTTGCCTGTTCTGTCCTTTCCATCCTTTGTTGAAAAAATTTGGAGCATTTGTCAAGGCATTTACGTGGTGAGTGTCCTGGCGTCCTGAGAACTCCATCGTATTTTTCGAAGCGAGTTCCATGGATACGGCAATCTCACATGCACGTAGAAATGTAAGATCTTTTTCCAATAGTAGCTTGCGCTGCACGGCATCAGAACGCAGCCCACTAACAAAACGATCCCTCAGGGCCTCATCCAAATATTGTCCAAAATCACATGTGGCTGACAACTGCCTCAGGGCGACAACATAGTCAGAAACTGCCTCCCCTTCTTTCTGGTTACGTTTCTGAAAACGAAAACGCTCAGCTATCACCACTGGAGTCGGCTTATAATGCGCACTTAACGCTCCAGTCAGCGCTGCATATCCCATGGTACTCGGCACCCTCGGAGACACAAGATTCTTTAGCAGCCTGTATGTATCTGCTCCAATCACAGAGAGAAACGTGCACACTTTCTTCTCATCGGAAACATCATTTGCCAACATCCATTGCTCCAGCCGCTCCAAATATGACTCAAAATCTTCTCTCGATTCATTATACTCTTCAACACGACCCACATGCATCGCCATGTTAGCTCACCAAAAGCTGTTCCGCTGCAGCCGTGAAGAAAACGTCTTGGTTTGTCTTTTTCTTTACATGTGAACACAGCCCTTCTACAGCCTCTGTCACGCTGTGGAAATCTTTAGAATCCTCGTCGCCAGTTGTGATATTCTGGGTTAGGCTCTTTGAAAAGATCAGGACAGAAGGACGTGGATAGGTGCCTTTATTGAACAGCAGGACATCACACACTAACTTGTTGTTTTCTTAGCGTGCAGAAACTACCCTTTTTTGTTGTTATATATTGGTCAACCAAGAACTAGCCCTGTAATGGGCACTTCTGTATTTTACCACTGGGGGGCAACAATTCACTCTATTACAGCCCGGTACAGTAATTACATGCGGCTTCCCTCGCGGGGCATTGTTGAAGATTGTGACCTTTTATGTCTCCACATCTTCTGCATTGTGTCTTTTTTTCTTTCTGTGTTTTGGCGGTGGTTTGTTTATGTAGCGGTGTCAGTTGCTTGGGACGTGCCCCTTCTTGCCATTTAGCATGGACGCGGTTCAGTTGTGAGTTGGTAATATCCATTTTAAAGTTAGTGCTTAGCATCTCTTGTTGCTTCTTTACAAGCTCACTTTGTCGGGCTCTGTTAAGCGCTTTCTCTAGCGTTAGTTCTGGATCCATTTGTAGCTGTTCTGACAATCGTTTGTCTTTCAGACCCACGACAAATCTGTCTCGCACCATTTCATCATGCAAAGTCCCGTATCCACAATGTTCTGCCAGACAATTGTTAAGGTTCAAAAATTGAGGAAGGAGAGTACAAACAACCATGGTCCAGAAGCTCTTGGTCAAACAATGATTTTAATGAATACACGCGTGGGAAGAACAGGAATTGATCTTCAACTTAATCAAAGCATACACAGATATTTTATACCGTCAGGGCTTAACTTTAATGACGCCCCTTCAACGTCACAGATACATTTTATACATAGATCAAATCAAAACCACAATGACTTTTAACACAGTTCAAAAGAACATCGTCTTCTATTTTCTGCCGGATGCTCGCTTGTCATCTTGACACCTCAGCAGCAGTTCTGCGACAAACTGCTCTTTTTGCAACCCCAGCAAAACATGATTAAACTTTCCCCTATAAATGATTCTCTCTAACTGAGTGTGTGTGTGTGTGTGTGTCTGTGTGCTAACCACAATTGCACCCTGTTTCACCTCGCCGACTAGCTCCTGACCTCTAACCAGACAGAGAGACAGAAGCCACTCTCGTATATGTAATAATCGAACTGAAACTATGGATATGGCATCTACTAAATAAATGTTTTAATCAAGAACTTCTAACGAAACCTTAATATAAAATGACCTGATATAAGTGTTTTGTAAGCATGTATTGCAGTTCCTTCTATGTTCTAGTTTTCCCTCAGCATGGATCATCTGGACACACCAGTGAAGCTTAAGACCTTTAATAAACCTGAACATCAACTCAACCTAAAAACAAGCACAGATATGCAATATGTATAAAATAGTTATAACTGCATCTGGAATACAAGGTTAACATAATAATTGCATGCATAACATCTTAAGGCCTTCTTAAAGCTATCTGTTACTTTGTTAGAGCAATGATCATACTGCAGATTATATTATACTGCAATGGTAATGATGATAATTATTTAACAATAGCAGTAAAATAATTTCCCTGCTCCACACAATGCAGTGCAGTATGGAAGTTGTCAACTGACTCACCCGTCTCTTGTTGGCGCTGGTTAAACTTCGCTCGCTCAAATATGATGTTTCTTCGGGCTACGAAGTGAGCATCCAACCTCCTTTTAACGGTCTCATAATCGCTCGCCTCTTCGGGAGTCAGGTGCAGGGATACCAATATGTCCTCTGCCTCCTCGCCCATAGTGTAGATAAGGGCGTTCACTTGATTTTCGTCCGCTTGCGTCTCCAATCCAGACGCGATGCGAAATCTGTCAAAACGCTTTATCCATTTGGTCCAGTCGTCGGACCTAAAAGTGAACTTCTCCGGCGGGGTGACTTGAAACTGACTCATGACGCCACGTCTCTTTTCGTGCAGCTCCTCTCTGGCCGACCTTTAACCTGGTACCGACGCCGAAACCTTCCACTTATGCCCAACTAACGTTTCCAGTTGTCTTCTGACACCATGTTCCGTTATTTGAGGTTATGGATGTTATTTGACTGGAGGCATAACTCACAGACACACGAGACGCGCCATTACTCCAATGAGTGTCCTTTATTATTTTTCATCCCCCCCACAACAACAACCCAGCAGAAACGTTCCTACCGTTTAACATTTACCTGATACTACAGAAACAACACTGAAATGCTGATGAAACCTGACACTGACATTGAAATAACATTGATTCACTGTTGTTCTGTCATCGTTGATTGTTGATCTATTTATAGTTGACAAGGTGACAACAATCACGTTGAAAAACCAATGATTTATGGTTGAGCGGGAAATTGAAGCTGCAACCACTTGGACTATTCCATAGCACCCCTCTCAGTGGTACATCCCTCCAGGTAACCATTGTCTTGTACAGTAGAGCGGGACATTCGGTTTACTCTCAGCGGAATTGACCGGAGAAGGCATCAGTTCATGCATTGCACTGGCCTGCACCACGATTAGTATAAGGTAAGAATGAATGAATTTTCTTCTATTCGTTATTTCCACGGTCGCATTTGAATAACAGTAAAAAAACAAACAAACTGGTTAATGTAAAGTTTCGGATAAAATGTGGGAGCCCGAAATTGTGTCTACTTTCATCATACAATCCGGCAACAAGTAAATTGCACTGCGAACAAAGTCTATCAACAAAGAAAACATTTTCGTTTCATACTTTTACGTTATATTCCCTTACAAAGCTAGCTTTAACGCTTCGAGGGTTCCTTTGTTCTTGCCGTCGCCTCGGCGCTTGACCCAGACTTTCACTCTGTAGTTGCTTTTTAGCATAGTACTACAAAAAAACTGTAAATCTGTGATATATGATTGATAAACGTAACGGTAACTGTATAAATGTGTTCAATGACTTTGTTACTTTTAATGATTGGTGAGCACCCGCTTCGATTCGCACTCAATTCAAACTTTACGTTGCACGCTCACCTACCTTTACGTTGCACGCTCACCTACCTTGCGTTTCCACCTTTTGTCTACACTGTGTGTGCAAACCTGGTAAAGACCTATAGTAAACGTTTGACCTCTGTTATAGCTAGGTTTCATTTGACGTAGACGTGACGTCGACGTAAAGCGCGAAATTTGACTGGCGGTCGGAAGTGAAAAAGATAAGCGCAAAATCACAGACAGACAGTACGCAAAATGCCTATGTCCTGTTGTGTTTACGGGTGCTCCAGTAGGTCGACCAGAGAAACTGATAAACGGTATTTTAGGGTACCAAAAATAGCCCAACGAAGAGGAGAAAAATGGAAAATTCTAACCGAAAAACGTAGGAAAAAATGGATTTTAAATTTACGTTTACAGTCGGGAGGAGCAGAGTCTGCCAATGCCCGTGTCTGCAGCGACCACTTCGTCAGAGGTAATGTTATGTTTGCAAACGAACTTATTAGCATTAGGTTGTCGTTAAATTCTCGTTTACTTAGTGCTTTTAAGTTAGTAGTCTAATATTGACTTGATTGGGACTATAGGCTGCCCAAGTGCTTTGGATGACGAAGAGTCGGAGGACTGGGCTCCGACGGTCAATCTCGGCTACGAACGAAAACCCAGATCGGAATCAGTTCTCAAACGAGAGAAAAGAATGAAGCTTAAGGCAGAACAGCATCGATGTGCAGAGGCGATTTTGGATATGCAACAGACGGCTGAGAATGGTTTACCTTGAAACAAACAACTGTCACTCTAACGAAGTCCTAAGGATGTGGCATGTTTGTTGACGTTAAAGCCGCTACCGCTAACTGTTAGCGTGTTTAAGATAAAGCAATATAAGAACAAACACTCACCCTTGCAAACACCAAACTGTATCCATCACGGAGACGTTTTGTTCCAAGGTTGTGGACCCACCCGCTGACAAAAAAATTGTACGCCTCCAGACTCTTGAAAGCTTTCATTTGCTGCCTAGTGTAGTAAGAAGTCTGGAGGACCAAGTAGTTGGTGATATCCACAGCCTCGATAGTAGGCAAATCCTTTACTTCTGTGGTGTATTCGGACATTTTCAAAGAATACGGATCACGTCCGATATATTTTTTAACTATCTGTTTATATCTCTCCCGAGAAACGGGGTCTAAAGTTGCACAATAGCTGCTCTCCTGACTCTCCACAGTGTCCTCCATGTTTACTTCCGCCCTCCACTCAAAAATCGCGCTGCCTCCGCACGTCATCAGAACCACGTGACCGCAACCCAACTATTGCCAACAAAGGTTATGTTACAAAGTATTGAGTTGTATTTTTGTTATCCGGTTGTTCAGTGATGACGCGACGAATCCTACTTCCGGGTCTAAAGTAGTCTGCGTTTAATATGGCTTTTGTGTTGTTAACATGTTTAATGTTATGTATTTTCTTCTATTTGATCTCAAAAAGCTCCTAAAACAGTCAGTGATCCCTGTTGACCTCCCTCGGCTTTTATTACCACTAATCATTTATTTAAGCTCAGTTTTTAAAACCTTAGGATGTAACTACAGCCCAGCCCATGCAGCAGTATATGAATGACTAACCTCGTATTGTGGATGGATTATCTCAGTTGTTCTCCTGGCTGAAGTTTGGTCCTTTTACAGCATCCTGCCATGCGATTACATTTGTTCCTGACCACCGAGAACACTCACGGTAACTTTTATCGAGTGGAAAAAAAGTTAGCTTGTTTATATTATGCTAACATAGCTGTGTCGCTAGCGGTCACGTAGCACATCATTATATACCAGCTAGCCAAACTTCAGTAACCCTGCAAACGTCACTGCTGTTTAGTTTTCTGTCTTCATTTATGCTGGAAGTGATAACAGAGCTGTACGTTTTAATTTGTTTCCAAAACCCCGCAGTCAGGACATGCTATATTGTATTTAGATAGAAGCTAGCGAGCTAACTTCCTGCTAACTTCTAACTCCGTTAAATGTCATAAATTCCGTTTTCATGGATGCCTGGATGTTAAACTCAATTTTTACACCTGGTAGAGCAGAACGCTGATCATTTTATTAAAGATGAAAGACTTTAGACAGTTTTTCAACTCTCAGTAATGCCATAGTGATCGTTTGATATATGGACCTGCAGCGGAGTTTAGACCCAGACACGGCTAGTGACGTCAGACTGAACAACCGGATTGACCAAATACTTATTTTCCACCCTGATTTACGAATAAATTCTTTACAAATCCTACCATGTGAATTCATGGATTTGTTTTTTTTCATATTCTGTCTCTCACAGTTGAAGTGTACCTCTGGTGCAAATTACTGACCTCTGTCATCATTTTAGGTGGGGGAACTTGCACAATCGGTGGCTGACTAAATACTTTTTTGCCCCACTGTTTAAGAAGTTTAAGAATCCTGAGCGTTCATAAGGACGCAGAGGGGTACCTTTCGCATTACTATGAATCCTCGGGGCCGTGAAGCTGTGAATGAGTTTTATCCATAAATCATCCAAAGCCTCATTAATCTGTTTTTCAATGTCATCATCTTATTGTAACTTGAAACATAGTGACAAAGATTTACTGTCCTTAAAAAAATAAACCAAAATTAAACTCTCACGTTTTTCTTGTTCATTTTGATGATTAATTAAAACGTTTTATAATTTAATCTTTGAAATAAAATCTTCATTTTTATCAAATGATTTATTCAAATAATAATGCAGTGTACATTATGGAGGGACGGGGGAGGCAGAAAATCAGAATATTCATTCAAAAAAATATAGTGGTAAAACACTGGGAACAATTTCTGCACAAGATTTTAAATTATGTTTAAAGGTCACAGACTTTACCGCGGAGGAGGCGCTTCGGTGGTTCTGGAGATCCTGAAACAAATTGACAGCAGCGCAGAGGTAAGAATCTGCGATTAGATTCATATTTTAAACCCGACACAAACCGCTGCGGTAGCTCGGTGTCAGGGTTTGAAGACTGAGTGTTAGATTATTGTATCGTACGGAGCGAAACCTAACGGCTGATCGCCTAATAATGAGCAACTACTGGAAGGACCGCTGACGTATCCGCACATCTGTACAACAAATAAAGTTTAAAACGGAAGCAAAAATGTTTAAAAAACAAAATAAACAAAAAACTTCCCGCTCGTCTTTGCTCTTCTTTCAGTTTCACTTTCTTCTTCAGAGCCTCTCGATTTTACCCCCAGTCCCCGTTTATAACAGCTAACAGAGTCACTGATCCTTACACCGTCCGAGAACATTTTGTTCCCAAATCGCAGTTTTAAAACGCAGTTTGGCGAATTTGTGCGAGTTGCCTACAACGTATTTCCACGACGGTGTTTCAGCTTATATTTGTCCCCAGTGTGATTCCACAGTGTTCCAGATGTTGCTTCCGCTGATTGATCATTTTCACTGCCTCTGACTGCAGATGTCGTGCGGTTTGACAGGATTAAAGACCTCGGATGAAGAAAAACTTTGTGGAATAAGGTGCAGGTTTATGAGAGGGAGAAAGCTAAATAATAAAAATGAAATTAAAAAGCGTAGGTCTCCGCGGCTAAGAGGTTCAGCTCCACAGCTCCAGTTTCACATTACAAATGAAAGTCTTGACTTCTTGTGTAATAACAATCATATATAATGTGCTGATGGAGCTGCTTCATTCTTCTGTATAAATGTGGAGCTGAAGCCATTATACGTGACGGCTGTGAGGGTCACTGCGTTTAACCTCCAATAGTTCTTTAATGCCTGTAACATTACACCCATGTATGGTATTTTAATATTACTGCTCTTAGCACCATCACACATTCATCACACATCAAACTCTGTGTCTTCCTCATTTCCGCAGAGAACGCTACAGGTGGACAGTCCTCAAAACGTGGTTCCAGTGACGGTGAGTTCCGTATTGTTTATCAAAATGACGTAGTATGAGCTTAAAATTTAGTCTAAATTATTGTGCCGTGTGCTTTGACTATAGAACTTCAAGAGTGGAAACTCGTCTTTATTGTCCCAAAATACAAAAACAACAGAAAAAAAGCCGTAAAAAACTAAAGAAATGCAGAGAATAACATTCTCAGTATTTAAGAAAAATGGATAACGTGCAGAGTTGTTGTTTTCTGCAGATTTGCAGTTTTTAATTTTAAAAGCTGGAAACTAATGAAAGCTGAAACGATTTTAATCAAAGGAAGCCTTTGAATAAATATCATGGTTTCTGTCTGAAGGGGGAACATTTTCTCAGCTATTCTCACAGTTGTAATCAGCACATTGGTTACTAGGGCAGCGTGCTGTTTTTATTAGCAATGTTTTATTAGCAATAGATCGAATAAAATAAAGAAAAGAAAAGATAAGCTCATTTCAGGATTAAGTTATCTATGTATGTCCAGTGGAGCCAAATATTAATAACCTAAAGAAGAGCCATGATTTAGTTGGTTTTAATGTTTTCTGGTGCATCAGCCCATCGTTTATTGTTTTCAACCAACTGGAAACAAATAAGGTGCACAGTTTTAAATCTGAGCAGCCCTTCATCCTGTGGACAGAAGGAAGTTGTTTATATTCTATCAGTGTAAAACATCATCATCAGTATTAATCAATAGTTTTTCCCCTCTGCTTGTTCCAGCTGCAGCATCTGGTGGATGTACAATGGCAGACGGTAGGTGCAGCATGAAGTCCTCTCCCTGTAACTGATCCTGACTCAAACTATAACTTAGCCTGAGGTCAAGAGTAATGAAAAAAAAAGATGTGTTCACTGTGAGGCACAGAAATGAAAATAAGTCTTTGAGACTTTGGTGACGTGCTTTGTGGTGTTCCTGCAGTCTAAAAAGAAGTATCATTTTAGCCAGCTCCTGATTTTAAAGAGTCTGCACTCAGCTGTTTGGTCTCCGAAATCAATGAAATGCAGCCAGATGCTGCTCCTTTTCCATTTTTGCTTGTTTCTTCACTTTTCTGTGGTGCTCTGAGTACCTGGTCCGTAACGCTGTTCGCCATCTTCCTTTATTCACATAACTGTCTGATCCTTATCTGTCCCTGCATGCCATTGGTCACACGGTGTGCCCATCAAAGCTGCTGGTTGCATGGATTCTCAGCAGGGCTGAGTGGTTGAGGCTGAAGAGTCGGCTTTTGTCATTTGCTACAAAGAATGAGCTCTTTGTGTCGGCTCGTTTGTGAATGACACATCACTAAACCCTAAGTTCGGCTGTGGTGCTGCAGCATGAGGACAGAAATCACTTAAAAATAAATCATAATAATTTCTCTTGTGAGCACAGGTGGCTTCTGTGTAAAGGTTATGATCAGCTGACCGACGCTGCTACTATTTGTGGATTTAGCCAACTGAACTCAGCAGGCTTATAAGCAGATGTTCCATGAGCTGTGATGGCTGATTTCCAATTCAATCAGTTCAATTTTATTTATATGGCACTGAATCAACGATTGCCTCAGTGTTCTTTAGTGTGAAGAATGAAGCTGCTGTTAAGGTGGAATTCAGTATCATTACCTTAAATTTAATTTGGTGTTTGCTGCCCTTGATGTAACCTTGACCATGAGCACCACAGTCTGTTCTGCACAATCCAAAAACAACAACTAAAGCAACCATTCCCAAAGTCAGGAGTGCTGCTGCTAAAAACCCAGGACAGGTCTGGGCTGAGACAAAAATCTGTGGGGGCTCATCATGATGGGTCTGTCTGTCTAAAAAACCTGGACCCCCCATGGCTGACAACCAAGATCACGTGAAGTACCCTCTGAAAGTCGGCTAAAAGATGTGAATGAAGCATCCAGCAGCGAGCGAAACCAGCTCATTAGATTCTCTGTAATAAAAGAGGAAACTGCAACATTAACTTGACTCTTGGAAATCCATCCATCCATCCATCCATCCATCCATCCATCCATCCATCTTCATCCGCTTTATCCGAGGCCGGGTCGCGGGGGCAGCAGCCTAAGCAAAGAGGCCCAGACCTCCCTCTCCCCAGCCACCTCCTCCAGCTTATCCGGGGGAACACCAAGGCGTTCCCAGGCCAGCCGAGAGATATAATCTCTCCAGCGTGTCCTGGGTCTGCCCCGGGGCCTCCTCCCGGTGGGACATGCCTGGAACACCTCACCCAGGAGGCGCCCAGGGGGCATCCTTGTCAGATGCCCGAACCACCTCAGCTGGCTCCTTTCGATGTGGAGCAGCAGCTGCTCTACTCTGAGCCCCTCCCGGATGGCCGAACTTCTCACCCTATCCCTAAGGGAGAGGCCAGCCACCCTTCGGAGGAAGCTCATTTCTACCGCTTGTATCCGCGATCTCGTTCTTTCGGTCACTACCCACAGCTCGTGGCCATAGGTGAGGGTAGGGACGTAGATCGACCGGTAAATTGAGAGCTTCGCTTTTACACTCAGCTCCCTCTTCACCACGACGGACCGGTGCAGCGTCCGCATTACTGCAGCTGCAGCCCCAATCCGTCTGTCGATCTCCGGCTCCCTTCTCCCATCAGTCGCGAACAAGACCCCGAGATACTTGAACTCCTCCACTTGGGGCAGGAACTCATCCCCGACCCGGAGTGGGCACTCCACCCTTTTCCGGCTGAGAACCATGGCCTCAGATTTGGAGGTGCTGATCCTCATTCCCGCTGCTTCACACTCGGCTGCGAACCGTTCCAGTGCGAGCTGGAGGCCCCCACCCGATGAAGCCAACAGAACCACATCATCCGCAAAAATCAGAGATGAGATTCTGAGGCCACCAAAGCCTTCATGTGATTACAAACTGATTACAATGTAAGCACATCACGTAAAACAAACATCTTAAAAATATTGGTTTTATTTTAGAAGGAAAACAAAGTTATGAGTCCATGGACCGGGTCATGATCTCACTTGGAAATTCAGGAAACACAATAATGTTTCAATGTCTGGCTGAAAAAAGTGAAAGACATCATTTATGTTCTATTTTTAACATTTAATTAATTTTAATTATGAAATAAGTGTGATTTTTTTTTTTTAAAGCATTTTGTTATGAAAGCGGAGAATAAAGTGAATAAAATTTTCACATGATAAACAACCGTAAACTTTTATTGTCATTTCTTTCCTTTTTTCTCCAGGAGAGCATTTTGTGGATAAACACAGCGTCCAGCTGATCCAGGGAGTGAGCAACATCGCACCCATTTTGGATGAGCTCCTAGACAAAGAAGTTATCGACCAAGAACAATATGACAAAATTAGAGCTCTGCCTACCTCTCAGGACAGGATGAGGGAGCTCTATAGTGGTCCCCTGAAAGCTGGTGCAGCCTACAAAGACATCTTCCATCAAATCCTTTTGGCAAATGAGAAATTTCTCGTTAATGAGCTCCGAGCTGCAGGATCCTCAGTGGGAGCAGCTGCTGTCAGCTTTCTGTCGGCTGGTAGGTTCATCAATATTACCTGTTCTGTCTTCTCACTAAGTTTTATATAATGTGAACAGTGAACAGTCAATCACACCTTTTCTCCCGCCACAATTTTACTTTTCGTTAGCTTACATACTTTGTTCTGTCTTCAAGTTTTCATTCTAAAGGAGGAACTCTCAGTCTCTCAGCTCTCGGTGGCAGCGAGTCACTAAACTCAATCCTGCTTATATTTCTTTCTTTAGACAGATGTCAAAATGCATAAATCGAGTCAGTTCTACTTTTACCACCAGTTTTTAGCACCAGTTAACGAATGTTTTTAGATGTTAAAGAATTCAACAGAACTTGTGGTAAAATACCAAATATAGAACTGTACCACATAGTGCCATTTTCTGTATGAAGCTGCTGGCTCTGTGGACATGAGGACGATCAGTTTGAGATATTCTCAGATATCTATTGTTTGCAGCACTGAACTGGTGTCCCTGACTTGACTGAAGACAGGTGGGATAGAGTTTTATCCTTAATGGGGACGATGTTCAGGAAACTGGAAGTGTCAGCAGGTGTTCTAAGGAGCTCTGAAAGAAAAGCATCTGGACGTCTTTCAGTTTCTTGAAGACGTTTCAGAAGCTTCTTCAGTTCTAAGAGCGACTGGTGGAGCGTCCCAGATTTTAAGCCCTATGGGAGTGTCCCCAAGAGGGTCGTGGACCCCCTATTGATCCTCTGCCTAATCACATGAGCAGTACTAGAAAAATTACCATTCCTGGTGCAACTCTGTAAGCCTTAGTCTTCTGCAAGAACAACACATTTCACAGCTGTCTGTGGCTGTTTTATCATGTCATCAATACTTGCATGCAATGTGGCAGCTGTTGGAGAGATGTGATATAAAACTCTACAGAAAGATCCACAGTAAACACTGGAGTGGAGTTTGAATCTGAGGCTGAAGAAGATGAGGAGCAAGACGGTGCACTGAAGTGTTCAATCAATCAATCAATCAATCAATCTTTATTTATAAAGCACTTTTCATACAGAGAAAATGTAGCACAAAGTGCTTTACATAGTTAAAAGCAGCCCACCCCACCCTCCAACTCACTCCCCACACTCTCAATACACATATATCCCCCCACCCACACACACATACACACACGCGCACACTTAAAGAGTAAAAATTGGGCTGGGCTTGCATGAGCCAAGTGAGGAAACACTATAACAGGGAGCCGTCTGCACCGGGAGCCGGTCACAGACCGCAGCCTCCAGGCTGGGCACACAGCAGGAGGGAGGCAAAGGAGCCCCCCAGCCAGGCTGAGAGGACCCGAGAGACCCAGCAGCCACGGTCAATAACAGCCCCGGTGCAGAGAGCGCCCTTCGAGGAAACACTGGAGATATGACGCAATACAATATATATATATAGGGTAAAATGATAAAATAAATAAGAACAGGATACAATATAAATATAAATAGAATAAGAAGATTAAAAAATGAATAAGAATAAAATCAAACAAATATTAGGTAAATCCTAAATTAATAATAGAATAACAGGATAGAATAAATAAGCATAAAATAAATAAACGCTAAGTAAAAGCTAAATTAAAAAGGTGGGTCTTGAGCCTGTTCTTAAAAACATGTACGTTCTCTGCGGCCCTGAGCTCCTCCGGCAGGCTGTTCCACAGACGAGGACCATACCACTGAAAAGCTGCCTCTCCGTGAGTATGTGTCCTGACTTTAGGGACAATCAAAAGGCCAGCACCAGAGGACCTCAGGGTCCGCGAGGGTTCGTATGGTAAAAGCAGATCTGAGAGATAAGAAGGCCCAAGACCATTAAGACATTTAAAAACCAATAAAAGAACTTTAAAATCGATCCTGAAACACACGGGGAGCCAGTGCAGCGATTCTAAAACCGGTGTAATGTGGGCCCGCCCTCTGGTCTTCGTCAGCACACGAGCTGCCGAGTTTTGCAAGAGTTGTAAAGTTGAAATATTCTTCTTAGGAAGACCAGAGAGCAGGGCATTACAGTAATCAATGCGACTGGTAATAAAAGCATGCATCAGCATCTCCGTGTTGGCCCGAGAGAGAATAGGGCGGACTCTGGCTATATTTTTTAGATGATAAAGTCCAATTTTGGTTACATGTTTAATATGTGGGATAAAACCAAGCTCAGAGTCAAAAATAACACCCAGGTTTTTCACTTGTAGCGAAGGACATAGTGAAAATGCCTCTAATTTAGACAAGAGTTTCTCTCTCTGAGCCTTGGGACCGACGATTAAAACTTCAGTTTTAATTGTTCACACTGTGTACACTTCTCTGTCTCGCTCACCTTCCTGTGAACTCATCAAAATCATGCAGAGCAACAAAATCTGCAACCTGGGGCAGTCCTTATTAAGGGTTACTTACTGTGGACCACATCTCAGTGTTCATATTTAATATCACTGATGCTGTGATTCTTATATTTACATAACACAAAACTAAGAATCAGCTGGACAGGAAATGTTTGAAAGGCTGCCTGAATCATTAAGAAGGGTCTGATGTGATCAGCACCTGGATGTGAGCGGATTGTCAGCAACGTTTCCTTCACTTTGTCTGGAGTCAGTCTTGGCTGTTGGATCATAGAGAGTGATGGATTCAGGATTTGCTGATTGGGCATTTTGTGACAGAGAAAAGTTGTTTCATTTATTATGTATCATGTATTTATTTTTGTTACATCCCCACGATGAAGGTCTAGGGGTGTGTGTGTGGGGCCTGGTAACAAATGGGTCCAGAACAGAATGAAAGGAGAACAGACAAAAATGTGTAGTAAATAAGGTAGTTTTTATTATAGAGAACCTTAACATAAAGAGCCGGCAACGCCGTTTTACCAATAACACCAGAAAAAGAAAAAGGTTGCAAAAACAAAGAACACAACAACCAAACAAAAAACTCCACACCACGAGGAGGCACTTCCAGGGGCCCACAAGCTCACCCTGTCACTAGCAGCAGCTAGCTTTACTGTGTTGAGGCCAACAAGCCCACACTACTCACATGAAGCAGCTACACCGCTTCCACAACTCCACACTCCAGGCAGGACAATCACACATCAAGATCACAAAGCGGAGAAAACCACACTCTCACATCCAGTTCATCCCCAGCTTATATGACCTCAGAGAGGTGATTGCTGACCGGGCCCAGGGTGTAAACGAGAACGAGGCCAATGAACAGCAGCTGTGTCCTGGGGATAGAGGAGCGAGAAAGGGTGGAGCAAGAGGAGGCGGAGAGAGAACACCACACCCACACAAAGCAGTTAGAGGCTGTATCCCAATTCAGGGTCTGCAGCCTTAAAGTACGCAGCCTCAACGATCCTCAAGGGCCGCGTACTCAAAGACCGCTAAGGCCGGAAGTGCGAGGCTTGTGAAATGGGACGATCTAGCCTCCGTTGCGCTGCCCAGGTTGCCTAGCAACCATGATACTAACAGCTGGAAGCGTGTCATACAGCTTTGTTTGACAGAGATGAAGGAGAAAATCTTTTGTTCATTTGTTTGTTTCTTTCTACATGAGCTTTGATCATTCTCTGTAAGATGAAGCTCAGCTATTGGACGGCGTATATTTTAAAGTAAAGGCTTTAAAACCAAGTTAGTACAAACGTCACTAATGTCACATGACTTTGCCGACATGTGGCCAACAGGAATGTTTTAATGTTCTTCGTTATTAAACATTTGCACATAAATAAGTGACATAATATTCAGTACTTAAAGTTTACTCTTCGGGCGCCCCTCATCCGCTGGTTTTTTTCGGCAAAATTATCCACACCCACCGCCACGCTATGCATTCTGGGATATGTTGGGCCACGAAGTCTACACCGCCACGTCCTTAAAATTCATCGAAATGAAGGACGCATTTGAGGGCCGCATTTCGAGCAGCCTTCGAATTGGGACAGCCTTCGTCGCATCGCTGTGACGTAATCGGCCTTAAAATGCGGCCTTTAAGGCTGCAGACCCTGAATTGGGATACAGCCTAAGTTTCAAACTTGGTCATCAGTCTGTGGAGGTGACCATGGAGGTTTTAACAGACATGAACAGACCTGATCTGATGCTGAGGCTGTCAGAGAGCAGCTCAGGTGAGACCAAACAAAGTTTAATAAACAGATTTTCATAATTTACAATAAACTTGTTTAAACAACTTCTAATCAACAAACATTAAAATAAACAGGAAACACAACAGACGTACAAAAATAACTTTGCATAAATGATCAGAGCTGAATCCAACCTTTCTCTCTGTCTCTGTCTTGTTCTGACATCACTGGTGAGAATATTTGAATTCATCAGCTTTTGATCATCTTAGACGTCACTCAGCTGCACGTCCTGCTGAACATGTTGTTCTGATGTTGAAGCAGCACTGCACAGCATAAAGTGATCAAACAGCAAACATGTGGACAGTTAGAGGATGATTTTATATGTCAGCATAACATCATTCATTTGTGTGTGGAAGGATTTTAAATATAATATTACACCTTACAGTAAAAATTAATTTAAAGAATTAAATCAGAGAAACTCACAACAAGAACTGCATAATATAAACTTTATTATCATTTATAAATGGATGAATGTTTCCTCTGATTTATTTTGGACAGACGTTGATAAATGAACACATTCAGGTTGTACAAACACAGTAAAATTAAACAGATTTGTTTTCATATTTCAATGTTTAAAGTAAAAATATTCAGCTTATTGAATCAGTGACTTTCTTTAGTAAATGTTCTTTTAAAGCTCTTTGAACTTCTTTCCTTTGAAAATATTTTTCTTTGTTTTTTGCATTTTGAGCTCATTAATATCAGTCTTGTGTTGTAAATGGATCTTTATGTTAGCTTTGATTGAAACTCCACTATGGAGACAGACGACCTGTATGAGGTAAATGATTCAAAGTCTTTTCATTGATTTCTCTGTGATTGTGTAACTATGGCCTCCTCCTGCCTTCAGTCAGCACAGCTGAAAGTGAAATATTAAAGCTTTTTATTGTCAGGACTCAGTGTTATACTCAGGATGAGCACACATAAAGGACACACACAGTGTCTGTATCATGTAGTTACAGTTTGTATTCAATGTGTTGCAGCTGCAGGATCATCAGCTGAAGGATTTGATGTGGAGGAAACAGAGAAAGGTCAGTGTCCAGAAAACACATGAATCAATAAATACACTCATTGATATGAAGATGAAGAAGATGAAGAAGAAGAATTACTGAATGAAACAGAACTGGATCATTTCCTCACACGTTGATAGTTTCCCATCAAATATGACTTCATGTTAACAAGTTTAATGTTGTTATTAATCCAACTTACAAGGATCATCAGAATGAAATCAAAGCATCAGTTATTTCAAAGTGTCTGATTATTAACACTGATGTTAAATCAGTCATGAATGAAGCTTTTAATCTTTCTTTTCTGTCAGAGAAACACTCTGAGGATGAACGTTGGCCTGCACTGATCCACAAAGTGAGTCATGTCACATCTGTCTGACTTCAGATCATCCAGCTTTCATTTCATAAACACAGGATAGAAATCTTCAATAGAAACAAATGATTTGATTTTGATTGGAAAAGTCAAAGTTTGATAAGTTGAGCGTGTGCAGTGAGGGAGGTCTGCAGCAGGTCAGAAAAGTCCTGAACTTGTTAACAGAAGCAGAATAATTGTTAATCAGCTGTTTGTGATCATTGTGACAAAGATGACCAATGACATCATCACCTTATGTGATGGATGATGTCATCTAAACACATCTACATTTGTAAAGTGTTGATGAGAAAACAAACAAACCTGAAAGTGAGAAATGTCACATTTATCTCATGAACATTTTCTTTGAATTTTCCAGGTAGAAACGATGGAGTCTGTTATTGAGCTGCTGCTGGAAGCTCTGGATGGTCTCAATGAGCCGGAGCTGCATGACTTCAACTGGACCCTGCGACAAATTCATCGCAAATATTACTCAGACTTCTCATGGATGTGGTACATGAGGACAAACCTGCAGCACACAGTGTTTCTGATGGTGCAGACTTACGGCCAACAGTCAGTGGAGAAGACCATGGAGGTCTTAAAGGAGATGAAGAGGACTGATCTGGCTCAGAGGCTGTCAGACTGCAGCTCACTGCCTCGAAGTAAGACAACAAAATCAAAACTCATTAAAGTCATAAAACTGTTTTTATGTCTCATAAACGTCTGACTAAAGTCTTCTTTGACTTTATAAATAATATTTGTAATAAAGACAAAAAAACACATCTTTAAAACATATTTTATGGCTGTTCTGGAAAAATCTACTTCAATAAATACATAAAAATGAGACCAGATTAAATCCAAATACTTTGTGAGGAGGAGTAAAAATGACTCCTTCATACTGTTTATTATTGCTGAGGAGGTTTCAGTGTAATTCTGCATATTGTCCATTTTTCCAAAGTCATATTTCCTGAATAATTGTCAGTTAGTTGTTAAATGTGTTTGTCATGAGTGACTTTGAGCACTTTTCTCCTCAGAGAAACACTCTGTGGATGAACGACGCTCTGCACTGATCCACAAAGTGAGTCATGTCACATCTCTGATTCAGTACAAGACAGCAGGCTGAAAGTCAGAGGACTAAAGTATCATCAGTTCTCATGTTGACTCATTTTTCTCATGATTTCTGCTGGATGTTTGTGACAAACTGAAGCTTCATTCAGTTTGACTTCTTCAGCAGTAATTTTCTGCAACACTAATGTCAGGATGTCTTTACCACTGAGGATGAGCTGAGGAAGTGTCAGCATGTACATTTGTCCTGACTCTTCAACAGGACAGAGAAATCTGAAAACATCAAACACTTTCAGATTAAACAGGAAACTTTATTCTACTTACAAATATTAATAAAGAATGAAAGATGATGTGAAATCAGGGAAAGATTCTTGATGGATATATTTCAGTTTTTATCTGCACAGTGAGAGAAGAACTGCAGCCTGTAAAGAAAAAGTATTCAAACCCATAAAAGTGGATCACAGTTTTAGATTTTCTTCATTTTTTTGATAAACGTACCGCAACTAGTAAATAGATGCTTGTGTTTGGCTAAATAAATATGTGACCCCGTGATTGTGTTTATTGTTCCAGATGGCAACAATGGCAGCTGTTAAACATCTGCTTTTAGAAACTTTGAATGATTTGAGTGATGAGGAGCTCAAGAAGTTTAAGAGGCTCCTGCAGACGATCCTTCCTTGGAGGAATCTGTCATTCTTATCATATATAGACAGGTTGAGTCTCTCATTAACCAGAGCAGATATAATGAATCTGATGGTGGATGAACTTGGTCATCAGTCTGTGGAGGTGACCAGAGAAGTTTTCATGCACATGAACAGAACTGATCTGGTGCAGAAGTTACCAGAGAGCAGCTCAGCATCCAGAGGTAAGACCAACATGCATGAGTGTAAACTCTGTGTCATCAACAGGTTTTTGTGTTGCTGGTGTCATGGTGGTGCAGTGGTTAGCACTGTGTCCTCACAGCATGAAGGTTGTGTGTTTGAGCCTCCTGGTTGGCTGGAACCTTTCTGTGTGGAGTTTGCATGTTCTCCCTGTGCCTGCATGCTTTTCCTCAGAGTGCTCTGGTTTCCAGTCCAAACACATGCTTGTTGGCTTTATTGCTGGTTCTAAATTAAATGTGGGTGTGAAAGGTTGTCTGTCTGTTTAAAACCTGAGGTGGACAGGTGTACCCTCTCTCATTATCACAGCTGGGAACCCCCAGTTACTTTGGTTGGACAGGATGGAGGGTTTCTTTGTTGGGTTCTTATGTCATTTTATTTAGTTTCACATGATTTTCTCTTTTAAATCATCTGTGTCATCTGAAGGCTGATTCTACTTGGATGTGTGATGATGTTTGAATCCTCAGAGTTGATGGTAAATGTCTTTCCTCCTCAGAGAAACACTCTGTGGATGAACATGGAGCTGCACTGTTGAAGAGAGTGAGTGTGACTTTAACTCAGCTTTTACAAAAAATAGTTTTTAGTATTGATAGAAATGAAATAATGTTTTCTTATGAAACTTGAAGTTTTGCAGTTCATAAAGAGAGTGAAGTAAATATCAAAACCGCCAGCTGTCTCTTCAGTGATTATTCTAAAAAATATAAATATTAATGAAGACATCTTTTTTTTTATTAATATTTGATATTTCTACTACAGTTTCTCTGGAAATTAAATAAAAATAAATCTTTAAATCGTCCAACAGAGATATTATACAGTAACTTAATACATTGTTTTGGTTTTACAGGAAAAAGAACAGGAAGCTGTCAGACAGATTCTCTTGGAAACACTGAATGAATTCAGTCAAAAGGATCTAAAGAAATTCAAGCAGTTGCTGCCGTTCACGTGCTTTAAGATGAGCCTGCCACAAATGGAGAGGTACTGGTATCCAAACAGGACAGAAGACCTTGTGAATCTGATGGTGGATAAACTTGGTCATCAGTCTGTGGAGGCGACCATGGAGGTTTTAACAGACATGAACAGACCTGATCTGATGCTGAGGCTGTCAGAGAGCAGCTCAGGTGAGACCAAAGTTTAATAAACAGATTTTCATAATTTACAATAAACTTGTTTAAACAACTTCTAATCAACAAACATTAAAATAAACAGGAAACACAACAGACGTCCAAAAATAACTTTGCATAAATGATCAGAGCTGAATCCAACCTTTCTCTCTGTCTCTGTCTTGTTCTGACATCACTGGTGAGAATATTTGGATTCATCAGCTTTTGATCATCTTAGACGTCACTCAGCTGCACGTCCTGCTGAACATGTTGTTCTGATGTTGAAGCAGCACTGCACAGCATAAAGTGATCAAACAGCAAACATGTGGACAGTTAGAGGATGATTTTATATGTCAGCATAACATCATTCATTTGAATTCTTTGTGTCTCAACAAGGACGAAAAACTGAAAGAAGTTCAGAGCTTGAAGGTTGTCAGAGCCTGACGGTAATCCCTTCCATTCATCCATTTATTGCTAAAGTTTCTTTCTTTATAAACATGTGTACTTATTGACTAAAGAGACTGTCCTCTGCAGCAGGACTGCAGTGATTGGACTAATCTTGAACCTGAGGTGAACAGTACAGATGCAGACGAGGCTCCAACTTACAGGTAAATCAACTTCCTGAATGCTGCAGCACAGCAAACTGGAACTACAGGAAACAGTTCAGCTTTGGATTTATTCCCAGAGGAAATTCTTCATTTTGCATCCGATTCACACGACTACTCTCTGTGTTTCCATTCACTCTGTTGTTCCTTCATGAGTGTGTATTTAATTCCTGTTTCAGCCTTCAGTCTGCAGCAGGACACTTTGAATGCAGAGTGTCGGGCTTGCGCTGGGTCTGTAAGGGAAAGACCAGCTTTCAGTACCAGTTTAGATCTTGGGAGGGACACATGGAGAGGATGGAGAGCAGACAATACATGCCTGCAGGTCCTCTGATGGACGTCACAGTCACTGCTGGGAAGTTAAATGAAGTTCACCTGCCACACTGGATCTGCATCGGTAAGAGGACATGAAGGAAGACTTTCAGATGTTGGACATTTCTGACAGTGAGCGCACAAACTGTTATAAACTGTTTTCTTTTTTTTTCTTTTTTTTTCTTTTTTTTTAGTAGACCAGAGTTTAGTGGAATATTCTTTGGTGTAGTTATTTAATTGTTTTAATTCGGTGGCACTGAGTCTCTAATGTTTCAGTTTGCTAGCATAATGAAAGTTTAAAAGTTTGAACATTTGTTAAGAAATTAAAAACTTTCCTTGTTATTTTTAACAGCTGCAGGATCCTCAGTGGGAGCAGCTGCTGTCAGCTCTCAGTCGGCTGGTAGGTTCATCAATATTAACTGAGTTTTATATAATGAAACAGAAAACTGATCAATACTAACTGTGCTTATGACTAAGATGTTGCTTTAAATTTTAGAGATGATTAAATTGAAACTGAAGCTTTGTCCTGTATGGCATGACCCTGACCTTTGACCTTGAAGTATTGCATACTAAGATGGTGTATTTGATCATCTTCACCCATGTGATTGGAGCAGAATTGGCTGAAATCTTTGGCTTCTATAAGCCTTCAAAACTTTATGGCATCATTGTGAACTGAAAAATAAACAGTGTGTTGCACATCTCCTTCCATGCTGCTCACATGTCGTATTACTGGATATGGATTTTTGTTTTTTTACTTGATTATGGTTTGACCTTAACCTTCATTGTTAGCGTCCAAGGTCAAAGTTACCAGTGATGGTCAAGGTTATATGTTACATATAACCTTGACCAAGGTTCTTTGTCAAGGTTATAAGAACCTTGGTCAAGGAAATAACTTCAGACATGGTGTGTTTTAACATTAGTAAAGGAAAACTGAAGGAGGGACAAAGAACAAACTAGCACAGACAGACAGGATGATCTGGAGCTGATGCTGTTAGGCATCAGCTTGTGATAAGAAACAAAATGGCACCATTTATTACAGAAAGGTTTTAGAAAAGAGCTCCATAGAACAGAAGTATGGTTTACTTGGAGAGGAAAGGATGCTGGTTTGATTCCAGTCAGAGGCACAAATCCCCCTTTGTGTTATGTCAGGAAGGGTATCGGCTGTAAAACTGCCAAATCAAACATCTGCAGTGACCCGTATGGCAGGGCGCAGTTGAACGTAGCTTATTCCAGATTTCAAAACACATTTTTCAACATTATTCTGAAATTGCATTGAAATGGTCTGAAACCAAATCTCAGACATGACGGCTACACCTGTTTAATCAGATGACACAGCTCATTATTAAACTCTGATGCATCAAACAATGACATCAAGCGTCCATATTCCAATTTTTCTTACATTAAACGTGTCATCCAGTTTCTGGCCACGTTGCAGGTTAGAGAATTACATATATTACATATATATAATAAGTATTTATGTTGTGTTAGAGCTGAGATGACCCCTTATACAGGAGATACTGGACTGGTTTAAAGGTTTGGGGTCTGTTTTACTGTAGAGTATTACCCAGTAATCACCAGAAATCAGTTTAAGCTGCTGGTGGAGAGACTCGCCTCCCTGTAACTGCCTTTGTCTGTATCTCTTTCTTGGCTCTTGACGGAGGCAGTCGCACTTTCTCTTTTTATCATTCACCATCCTCTGGTGAATAATAATCGAACAGGACCGCCTACCATGTGTTTCTCTTCAGGTTTAAATCGTTTGGATGTTTGGAGGCTGGCAGTGACGAAATAATAACTCGACTAAAATGCGTTAAAGCAAAAGTAACGAGCCGGTTTAGAAAATGTAAGAAGTAGAAAGTACAGATATTTGTTTATAAAGGCAGGGAGTAAAAGTAAAAAGTAGTGAGAAAAAGTAAGACTCGGGTAAAATACATTTGTATTTGTACTTCGTTACTTCTCACCTTTGTGCCCAAGGCCTTGAAACTGCCAAGCAGATGCACTCTCATGCAGCTCCTCATTTTCTGATAATAAAAGAGAAGACTGCAACATTAACTAGATACAATAATCTTTAAATGTCTGGATGAAAAAAGGAAAGATGTCATTTATGTTCTTTTTAAATAGTCGACCAAAAGGAACGAATGTGTTTTTAACATTTAATGAATTTTAATTATGAAATAAGTGCGAATTTTTTAAAGCATTTTGTTATGAAAGCTGAGAATAAAGTGAATAAAATTTTCACATGATAAACAACCGTAAACTTTTGCCGTTTCTTTCCTTTTTTTCTCCAGGAAAGCATTTTGTGGACAAACACAGAGTCCAGCTGATCCAGAGAGTGAGCAACATCGCACCCATTTTGGATGAGCTCCTAGACAATGAAGTTATCAACCAAGAAACTTATACCAGAATTAGAGCTCTGTCTACCACTCAGGAGAAGATGAGGGAGCTCTACAGTGGTCCCCTGAAAGCTAGTGCAGCCTGCAAAGACATCTATGAGATCTTCTATGACATCCTTTTGGCAAATGAGAAATTTCTCGTTAAAGAGCTCAGTGAAAAGGATTAAATGTGTTGGGGAAAAAAAAAACAGTTTTTAGACCAAATATAGATCTACCTGTTAGCGCCATTTATAGTCATTACATGTTTTATTTTGAAAGGCCTAAAAAGGATATGGTGCTGTAAAAAAAGGTTGTAAAAAAATAAAGCAAGCGAATGGCGGAGCGACACGATGGTTTTACCGTCGTTGTTGCACAAACCGACGCGTAAAACAGCCTCTGTCCATCCAGACTCTTATTTTAGATATAAGAGAAATAGAGAACTCCAAGAAGAAACAAAGATAGCCACTACATTAAGTAAAACCATCATGCTCCCGAGCAAGACGACTGCATCGCTATGAGATCGTGCAAAGTTTGATACAGCAAGTCAGTTAAGTGCACAGAGCTGTATGCATGAAGAATCTAAGAAAAGAAGAAATAAACTTTCATGGATAAAGTTTTGGACTATGATATGCTGCTAAGCTACAAGTCGTGTTAAAACTGAACAATTGCGATTCTCAACTTCTTACAAATAAGTCAGTGACAGTGTTTTTGGTCTTAAGAAGATGACACTAACTACGAAAGCCTCAGCTTTGTGTCATAGACCATTTTGTTTCATGAACACTTTTTGAATAAGAAGTTGTGTAAAAGGAGCAGAGATGGCAGATAAAGACCCGCAAGATTGCAGGCCCAGGGCACAGAGCTGCAGTAGCGGGACTGGCCATAAGAGGGCGCAGAAGTACACCGAAAGAGGTTTGGAAGAACAGCTCGGCAGGCACATAAACGCAAGAAGGTCCAAGCTGTCACAATTAACTTCAAAAATGAATAAAATTAGCGGACTGATGAAAGAGAATGAAAGCCTTGACATTGTTGATGAACGTTTAAGCAACTTTTCAAAGCTGCATGAAGAATTCTTACAGGCAAATGATGATGTACTGTCGCTGTTGCCAGAAGATGAAAGGAATGTGGACCAGATGCTCTGGTTCAATCCAAAAAAAGGAGCAGTTCAGTGCATTTATGACTGAAGTTGAGAAATGGATCATCGTAACAAGACATCAGCATCAAGACGACGTGAGCCCAGATGACAGCGTGTCAGTGACTGCTAGACCAACTGCAAAGAAATCAGGTACCAGCGTTGGAAGAAGCTCAGTCAGTAGCCGCTCATCAAGATCGTCCAGAGCTTCTTCGGTATCATCTGTACGGCAGAAAGAAGAAGCAGAGCGCTCTGCTCGCACGAGCCGCATCCTTGAAACAGAGACAAGCCTTGGACATTGAAGAATGTAAGTTAAAGGCAAGAAGAGAACAGCTTGAGATCGAGACAGCTATTGCTGCTTCTACAGCCAAAATAAAAGTGTTAGAGGACTGTGAATATGACAGCTGTAAAAATGATGTGGAACAGTGTGAATCGGCTGTTAAGCACTTCAGCTTCCAAGAGCCAAAGGTACAAGGTGAACATGATGGGCATTCAAAGGTAAACAGTCACAGTGTAAAACAAGAAGATGACTTGCACCAAACTGATGCTAGTGTTATTCCAATGAATCTATGTGAAGTCATGTTGAAACAAAATGATATCACTGAGATGTTAGTCAAACAACATAGACTGTCACATTTGCCTCAAAGAGACATTCCCATTTTTAGTGGTGATCCACTTGAGTTCATACCATTTACAAGAGCCTTTGACCATACAATTCATGATAAAACTGACAGTGACAGGTTATATTACCTTGAACAGTTCACCAGAGGTGAGCCCAGAGATTTGGTAAGAAGTTGTCAGCACATGGATCCTCAACAAGGCTACAGTGAGGCAAGGAAGTTGCTGTTTTGTCATTATGGTAATGAACTAAGAATTGCAACTGCCTACATGAACAGAGCATTCAATTGGCCACAAATCAAAACAGATGATGCAAAGGCTCTTCATAGCTATTCACTGTTTCTCACTGGTTGTAACAATGCAATGCAAGACATCAGTCAACTGCAAGAGATGGAGATTCCCACGAACCTCAGAGTTATAGTCTCCAAACTGCCATATAAAATGAGAGAAATGTGGAGAGTCTCTGCCTTTGACATTCAAGAAACAAGTGGAAGGAGAGCAAAGTTCTCAGATCTGGTTAGATTCATAAACAGACAAGCAAAAATAGTTGCAGATCCTTTGTATGGTGACATTAAGGATGCTGAAGACAAAGGAACGTCATCTGCAAATCTGAGAATGACTAGGTCAAAGTCAAGTCAAAGTCAGCTTTATTGTCAATTCTGCCACATGTACAGGACATACAGAGAATAGAAACTACGTTACTCTCAATCCCTAGATAAAATAGCAAATGAACATTTAAATATAAGAGTGATTAAAAATGCAAGTAAAAATTTAAATAAATAAATACAATACAATTTTACATATAACAAGAAAGCTATACAATATACAATATAATGAGTAAATGACATTGAGTGCAAACCAGGCAGAGTAGTGCAAATGGGCAAATAGTGCAAATGGAGATTTGGTAATGTACGGTAAGAGATAGTATAACAACAAAGTCTTATGAGGTAATGGCAGTCCAATGCTCCACAAAGTGACTGGTAACTGGTGCAGGCCAGTGAGTGAGTCAGAGTGTGTGTGTGTGTGTGTGTGTGTGAGACAGAGTTCAGTAGGACCGTGGAGGGGAGAGGGGGCAGAATCGGGAGGGAGTTAAGCTTCCTGACAGCCTGGTGGATGAAGCTGTCCTTCAGTCTGCTGGTCCTGGCCTGGAGACTCCGCAGTCTCCTCCCCGACGGCAGCAGCTTGAAGAAGCTTTGCATTGGGTGCGTGGGATCAGCCGCTATGCAAAGGGCTTTTTTTAGTGAGTAAGTAAATAGTTAAAAATACCAAAACTTGTTCTCAACATATGTTCATAATGTCAACAGAAAGATTTGAAATGAGAAAATGAGTAGTTAAAAAACTATTTCTATTTCTTTATTTCCTCTTTGTATTAGAAAAACAACTGGATGAACATCTGTCTGCACTGATCCACAAAGCGAGCATTGTCCCTCATCCTCTCTGTGCAGAGCTCAGCTTTTATTCAGTAAGATGCAGAATGACAATCATAATGTAATCAATTAGACTGGATAGCTCTTTGGGTGGCTCGGGCCCATCGTCCTGTAGGCCCACCACCTGCAGGGGGCAGTGCAGTGGGTGGGTTTAACATGTACTGAGTGGTGGTCAAAGGCAGAGGCCCTTCTTATCCAATTCTCAGTTATATGTGTGTCCTCAAAAAAGTGATTCATTTGCCTGAATAATAATAATAGTGGTCTAAGAAGCTTGGAAAGAAAAGCATGTGAGTGGGTGTTAAGGCGTCTGGGAAGGATCTCAACACTGGATTATAGATGGCAGACAGTTGGTGTCGTAAACCACCGCCACTGTTCAAAGATGGTCGCTCACAGTGGACAGAAATGGCTTCTTTCACTCCTCTTTCAAACCATCTGTCCTGTCTGTCCGTGTGTACATTGGCATCCTCGAGGATGCCAATGTACACACGGCTTATGACACCAACTCTCTGCCATCTATAATCCAGTTCTGAGATCCTTCCCAGACGCCTTAACGCCCACTCACATCCTGGGGCGTCTGACCTCAGGAAATCACATGATAGGGTGGGGCCAGGTTTCACATTGAGCTCACCTGAAACCCTGGCTGATTGTGACCCACACCCGTTTTCACACCTTGGCTCATGTGATTAGGTAGAGGATCATCAGGGGGTCCTTCGTCCGTCTTTGGGGGGAAACTCCCACTGGGTTTAAATCTGGGACTCTCCACCATTTGATCCTAGAACTGAAGAATCAGAATCAGAATCAGAATACTTTATTGATCCCTGGGGGAAATTATTTTTTGTTACAGTGCTCCATTTTAAACCAACATTAAAACAAGACAGACAATACACTAACTAAGAATAGTACAATATATACATATATATACATACATACATACATAAGTCACTCATAAATAAATAGTTGGAAAAGAAACATGTGTAGTTGTAGCAGCAAACAGTGTGTTAAGTGGATGCGTTGTACAGGGAGCCACAGGCAGGAATGATTTCCTGTGTCGTTCAGTGGTGCTTTTCGGTAATCTCAGTCTCTCACTGAACGAGCTCCTGTGACTGACCAGCATGTCATGGAGTGGGTGGGAGGTGTTATCCAACATTGTCTTTATCTTGGACAGCATCCGCCTCTCTGACACCACCTTGAGGGAGTCCAGCTCCATCCCCACAACATTGCTGGCCTTACGGATCAGTTTATTAAGTCTGTTGGCATCTGCGACCCTCAGCCTGCTCCCCCAGCATGCAACAGCATAGAGGATCGCACTGGCCACAACAGACTCATAGAAAATCCTCAGCATTTTCTGGCAGATGTTGAAGGACCTCAGTCGCCTCAAAAAATAGAGACGACTCTGGCCCTTCCTGTAAAGTGCTGTGGTGTTTTTAGCCCAGTCCAGTTTATTGTCAATGTGTACTCCAAGGTATTTATAGTCCTCCACAATGTCAACACTGACCCCCTGGATTGAAACAGGGGTCAAGTGTTTCCTGGTCTTCCTGAAGTCCACGATCAGTTCCTTGGCAGATGATTCTGCTCACACCACGTGACAAAGGAGTCGACCACAGCCCGGTACTCTGTCTCATCATCCCTGCTGATGCATCCAACCACCGCAGAGTCATCAGAAAACTTCTGAAGATGGCAGGTCTCTGTGCAGTGGCTGAAGTCTGTGGTGTAGAGGGTGAAGAGGAAGGGGGAGAGGACAGTCCCCTGTGGTGCCCCTGTGTGGCTGATCACCTTGTCAGACACACACTGTGGGAGACGTACATATTGTGGTCTTCCTGTCAGGTAATCAACAATCCAGGACACCAGAGAAGCATCCACCTGCATCGCTGCTAACTTATCACCCAGGAGGGTCGGCCTGATGCTGTTGAAAGCACTGGAAAAGTCAAAAAACATGACCCTCACAGTGCTCGCCGGCTGGTCCAGATGGGTGTAGACACGATTGAGCAGGTAGATGATGGCGTCCTCAGTTCCGAGACGAGGCTGATAAGCGAACTGAAGGGGATCCAGATGTGGTCTTACTATGGGTCGCAGCTGGTCCAGGATGAGCCTTTCCAGGGTCTTCATGATGTGGGAGGTCAGTGCCACGGGCCTGTAATCCTGGGGGCCACTGGGACGTGGCGTCTTTGGTACAGGGACGAGGCATGATGTCTTCCACATCACCGGGACCCTCTGCAGACTCAGACTCAGCATAAACAGTTTATGAAAGACTCCACACAGCTGGGGGGCACAGGTCTTGAGGACAAGGGGACTCACTCCGTCTGGTCCAGCAGACTTGCCTGAGTGAAGTCTCCTCATTTGCATCTCAACCTGGTATTGAGTGAAGGTGATGGGTGGGGGAGGGGTGTCAGGAATCTCACAGGAGGCAACAGCGCCATGTGAAGAGAGAGGCTGGCACAGTGGTGTGGCTCTGGATTCCAGGCTGACTGCAAGTGAGGTTGTGGGGGAGTGAGCAGACACTGTGGTGTCGAATCTATTGAAAAACAGATTCAACTCGTTGGCTCTATTCTCACCTCCCTCAGCTCCCCTGCTGTTGGTTGGCCTGAATCCAGTGATGGTCTTCATGCCATGGTCTTCAAGAAGCTTCTCGGATGAGAGGTGAAACGTCTTCAAGCAACTTAAAGAAGTCCAGACACTTTTCTTTCTAAGCTCCTTAGACTACGATGACCTGGATGACTGAGAACCTTCACAAACAATAATAATAATAATAGTGAATACACAACAAGGTCTTCACACTGTGAATGCTCAGGCCCTCGTTACTAAATGTATCTGTGTTTTCAGAATCAGAATCAGAAGAATCAGAAGGGTTTTATTGCCAAATGTTGAGCAGGTTTACAACATTAGGAAATTGCTGCGGTGCTTCAGTGCAAACATACTGTCATAAATGCTTAAATAGACATGAAAATAAAAATAAGAGTAAGAATTAAAAGTGCTATGTAGAAAGATATATACATGAGTGCAGGTGGTGATCAGTGCCAAACATGGAATGATGCAGTGACACAGCGTAGGGTCATGTGTTAGTGGCGGGAACAGTCATACGGTTATTGTTCATGTGTCCAACAGCAGAGGGGAAGAAACTGTTCTTATGGCGAGAGGTTCTGGTGCGAATGGACCGGAGCCTCCTGCCTGAGGGGAGCAGGTCAAACAGACTGTGTCCAGGGTGACAAGGGTCAGCTGAGATCCGGGCTGCACGCCCCAGTGTCCTGGAGGTGTACAGGTCCTGCAGAGATGGGAGTCTGCAGCCAATCACCTTCTCAGCAGAGCGCACAACACGCTGCAGTCTCTGTTTGTCCCTGATAGTGGCTCCAGCGTATCACACGGTGATGGAGGAGGTGAGGATGGACTCGATGATTGCAGTGTAGAATTGCATCATCGTCCGTGTTGGCAGGTTGAATTTCTTCAGCTGCCTCAGGAAGTACATCCTCTGCTGGGCTTTCTTAATGACGGAGGTGATGGTGGGCTCCCACTTCAGGTCCTGGGTGATGGTGGTACCCAGGAAGCGGAATGAGTCCACAGAGGTGATGGGGGTGTCAGTCAGGATGATGGGGGGGAGTGGGGCTGTGTGCTTCCTGAAGTCCACAATAATCTCCACTGTCTTCTGGGCATTCAGCACCAGGTTGTTGTGGCTGCACCAAGACACCAGACGTTCAACCTCTCTCCTGTAGGCAGACTCATCCCCGTCAGAGATGAGTCCAATAACGGTGGTGTCATCTGCGAACTTGATTAGCTTGACAGACTGGTGGGTGGAGGTGCAGCAGTTGGTGTACAGGGAGAAGAGCAGAGGAGAAAGAACACAGCCCTGAGGGGAGCTGGTGCTGATGGTCCGGGAGTCCGAGACATTCTTTCCCAGCTTCACGTGCTGCTTCCTGTCCGACAGGAAGTCAGTGATCCACCGGCAGATGGGATCAGGCACATTCATCTGGGAAAGCTTGCCTTGGAGATGGTCTGGAAGGATGGTGTTGAAGGCAGAGCTGAAGTCCACAAACAGGATCCTGGCGTAGGTTCCTGGGGAGTCCAGATGCTGCAGGATGAAGTGTAGGGCCATGTTGATGGCGTCGTCTACAGACCTGTTGGCTCTGTATGCAAACTGCAGGGGGTCCAGGAGGGGGGCCGTGAGGGTCTTGAGATAGGAGAGAACCAGGCGCTCAAATGACTTCATGACCACAGATGTCAGAGCCACGGGTCTGTAGTCATTTAGTCCAGTGATCCTAGGTTTCTTGGGGACAGGGATTATGGTAGAGGACTTGAAGCAGGCAGGCACATGACATGCCTGCAGTGAGGAGTTGAAAATGCCAGAAAACACTGGGGCCAGCTCGTTTGCACAGTGTCTGAGTGTTTTAGGTGATCATCAGAAAAATCATACATTATCAGAAATGCCAAAAAAAGTCTTAGTGTGGAAATGATATATTTTCTTTATAAATTTTGGCTTTTTTATATTAAATTTTTTTGAGAAAACGTGATTTCAATTAGTTTTAATATTTAAAACAGCAACAGAAACATTAATATTTAATTTTTCTTTATGAATGTTTGAATTTTCCAGGTTGCAACAATGGCAGCTGTTAAAAATCTGCTTCTAGAAACACGGGAGGATTTGAGTGATCAGGGTCTCAAGGAGTTCATGTGGTTCCTGCAGTTCACATGTTTTCAGAGGGGCCTTCCACAATTCCCACCGAGTACAAACAGAAAACATATAGTGAACGCGATGGTGCAAACATGTGGCCAACAGTCTGTGGAGGTAACCATTGATGTTTTCAGGGACATGCAGAGAACTGATCTGGTGCAGAGGCTGTCAGAGAGCAGCTCAGGACTCAAAGGTAAGAGAATAATTATCCCTAATAAAAAAAATTATCAAGAGTTGATTCAAAATCTTTGAACCAAGTCACAAAAACTGAACAATGGAAGTTTTTTTGTCTTCCTGAAAGAAGGCAGGAGGATTTTCTTCACTGAAGTGTTTAATAATAGATATTGTTAAATAAAACACAGACATTAATATTAAGATTACAAACGACTAAATTCTTTCCTTACACACTTAATTGTTTTCTGATCATTAACCCTGACGTTAAATAAGTTATGAATGGATCTAAGGTGGACGACAGACACTAGACAGACAATCATTGTGGAGCCTAAAGAGAGCAAATGAAGTAATAGATAGATGAGGTGTTGTTCACAGCCGGCACCTTTCTAACTTTGCCAGCATCAGCTTTAAAATCTGTACCTGATCCTGAGAGTTGTTGTTGTGGCGGCTGAAAAGCTGCAGCTGTGTGTGTTTGTAACAGCAACCGAGTGTAAGTATGAATAAAGATTGTGCTGAAAAGCATTAAACTGTGGACGAGTCTGCTGTGGGGATACTACACTTTCTTTTCTCATGGTAACCATGATATTGTAATATTTCTCCCAGAGAAACTTTGTGGATGAATGCTGGGCTGCGCTGAGCCAGAAAGTGAGTAATATCACCTATGACTGTATTTAAATGATGCAGCGTTCACTGAACATGTTCAGTTTAAAAACTCCTACATGTAGAAAAGATAAACAGAAAGATTAAATTCATCAGGTTGGAATAAATGTTAATCAGGTGTGTAATTATCACTTACATCATTTGCTTGTAACTGTGTCTGGTGTAATCTAAACATTTATGAGACGTTGATGAGATAGAAAAAAAACCTGGAGAAAAGTCGCATTTACCTTTTTTTTCTCAGGTAGAAACGTTGGCGTCTGTTATTGAGCAGATTTTGGAAACCCTGGCTGGTCTGAGTTACTGGGAACTTGAGGTTTTCAAGGAAGTCCTGCGTAAAATTCATTACAAACATTAGTCAGACATCCAAAGAATCATCTACATGAGGACAGACCTGCAGGACACGGTGTTTTTCATGGTCCTGACTTACGGTGAGCGGTCAGTGGAGGAGACCATGGAGGGTTTAAACGAGATGAAGGGGGCTGATCTGGCTCAGAGGCCGTCAGACTGCAGCCCAGAACCCAAAAGTAAGACAACAAAGATGAAATAAGTTAAATGAACTCTGGTGGTTAAGATGTCTCATAAGTAAAGTTTTTGTCTTTCATAAAAATATTGTAGAGAAAAGACAGATTGTTGTCCAAATCAGAATTTATGAGTGTTCAAGTAACAAAAAAATGACAAAAAGTGACTCCTTCAGTCTGAGAGACTGAATAACACAAACAGTGTCTATCATGGTTGAGCTTTAAATGTAATGTTGAAGATTATACAACTGTCAGTTGGTAAGTAAGTCTCTTGTGAGTGACTTTGAGCACTTTTCTCCTCAGAGAAACACTCTGTGGATGAACGACGCTCTGCACTGATCCACAAAGTGAGTCATGTCACATCTCTGATTCAGTACAAGACAGCAGGCTGAAAGTCAGAGGACTAAAGTATCATCAGTTCTCATGTTGACTCATTTTTCTCATGATTTCTGCTTTTTTGTGGTTATGAGAAATCATACTGAACTTTCTAAAAGAGCTTATTTGGATAAAATGGATAAATAAATAAATGTCCTGCAAATTGAATGACTTTTCCAGGTGGCAATGGTGGCAGCTGTGAAACAACTGCTTTTGGAAGCTTCGAATGATTTGAGCTCGAGGAGTTCAAGAGATTCCTGAAGTCAATTTTTATTTGGATGAGTCTGTCATACAAATCACAGTCCATCATCAACCAGAGCAGATATAATGAATCTGATGGTGGATAAACTTGGTCATCAGTCTGTGGAGGTGACCAGAGAAGTTTTCATGCACATGACCAGAACTGATCTGGTGCAGAAGTTACCAGAGAGCAGCTCAGCATCCAGAGGTAAGACCAACATGCATGAGTGTAAACTCTGTGTCATCAACAGGTTTTTGTGTTGCTGGTGTCATGGTGGTGCAGTGGTTAGCACTGTGTCCTCACAGCATGAAGGTTGTGTGTTTGAGCCTCCTGGTTGGCTGGAACCTTTCTGTGTGGAGTTTGCATGTTCTCCCTGTGCCTGCATGCTTTTCCTCAGAGTGCTCTGGTTTCCAGTCCAAACACATGCTTGTTGGCTTTATTGCTGGTTCTAAATTAAATGTGGGTGTGAAAGGTTGTCTGTCTGTTTAAAACCTGAGGTGGACAGGTGTACCCTCTCTCATTATCACAGCTGGGAACCCCCAGTTACTTTGGTTGGACAGGATGGAGGGTTTCTTTGTTGGGTTCTTATGTCATTTTATTTAGTTTCACATGATTTTCTCTTTTAAATCATCTGTGTCGTCTGAAGGCTGATTCTACTTGGATGTGTGATGATGTTTGAATCCTCAGAGTTGATTGTAAATGTCTTTCCTCCTCAGAGAAACACTCTGTGGATGAACATGGAGCTGCACTGTTGAAGAGAGTGAGTGTGACTTTAACTCAGCTTTCATTCAGTAGATTCAGGCTGTAAATCATCCTCATCTTGAACATTAAACACGATGAAACAGACGAAGCATCTTTGAAACTGGATGCTTCTCACAGTGTTAATGTGGAGTCTGCAGCAATAATGTTTCCACTGACGACAGAGTGAAGGACTCCGCCCTCAAACCAGCGTTCGTCCCTGTACCATTGTTAATTCAGTGGGTTGGTTTCGCCCCCTGTCGAACCTCCAGGAGACTGCAGGTCTTCCTGGTCGTTGACAGATGTTTAGTGAATAACAGAAACACACAGTATTAAAGATTTATACCGTCTGTGGTAAATTACAGCTTAAGAGTGTTCAGTCAGACATAAGTAGCTCTAGTTAGCATGTGAATGTGATGCTTACTTTGGATTATGGAACTTTTTATTATTATTAACGGATTCAGTATTTATTAAACTCGGTGTATCCGTTGTTGCTTTGGAGATGCAGAGACTGATTAAAGAGACACGACGTCACTCTTTCTACTCATACCTGAGCCAAAGGTAACGTTGATGGAAAGGCGGTAACATCTATTTCAACTCGGTTTATTTCTATGGCGCAAAATTAGAACAACAGTCGCATCAAGGCGCCTCCGTTATTCAGGCGGGCTGACAGCTGGGAGGAGAGAGACGCAGAAAAGCGGAGGTTTTTCCGCCTCAGCGTTTACAGAAAGTGAGAGAAAGCAGCGGGAGAACAGTGCCTCACACTAAGCTGCTTCACAAACACTGAAGAATGATTTTCCATCAGCAGTGATTCCTGGTGTTCACATTTTACATGAAGTATTGAAGGTAAGCGCGGCATTAAGTTCTGCTTCCTCCTGGAAGTTCACATTCGTAGTTCTGCTTCCTTGTTAGGGGAGTGCGAAGGCCCTCTATCTGCTCTGTTTCTTATTATTATTATTATTCAGGCAAAACAAGTGCCTGTTTGAGGGCCTAAACATGCTCAAAAACTCAGCCACCTATTTGGGGTTCTATTGCATAACCTTCATATTTGGTCAGTGTCAACTACACACCCGGGCCATGTTAAACTGCGGAGCTTTTGAGTTTTCGGGACATGGTGAGGCCGTGGCGCCACGGCGAATTTCTATGATTCGCCATGAAAATCTTATTGCCTCTCACTCTGTCATACATTGTCCGACCTGGACCAAAGAGCACACATATGATAAGGCTTCAGCCCTGAAACATCTGCAACCTCAAATTTCTCCAGGAAAGAGTTTTTGGGTTTTTTTGCCTGTCCCGTTTGGATCTTTAGCCATCAGAATTGTTGCCTGAAGGCCAAGAAAGATGCTGTACTTTACCAATTGGATCATCGTAGCCTTGCCATATTTGTCCATTTGATTGACCTTCATTATAATTATGTATTTATTTTATTTTTGGTTGTTACAGGCGGGACAGACATGACTGGGGGATAGGACAGGGAGAAAGAATGAAAGAAAGAGAGGGAGAGAAAGAGTTTTTTTTTTTTTTACCTGGATCACCTGTTGAGAAAGAAAAAAGAAAACAAGCAGAAGAAGACGAGAGCAATACAATAAACAACATCATGATGATCTATGTGAATATAACAGTAAATAGTAAATATTAAACCTTATTGTGCAGCACGTAAGATCGACAGCGCACAGTGTGCTTTGAGGTAGGATCCAAAAAGGGTGTAGTTTGTGTGTGTGAGTCCCCGTGTGTACACCTGTGAACACGTTTGTTTTTAAAAGGTTCCTTCATGTAAGTAAATAAAAGCCTTGTTGAGAATTAAAGTGTTTCTCACCTGTGAGAATCTAGAGGGCTTTTAATTTGAAAGAGTTTGTATAAACCAGGGGTGGGCAATTAATTTTCGCAAGGAGGCACATTTGAAAACGAGACTGTTGTGGAGGGCCTTTCCAACAAGCTGAACTCAAACTCACACTCACGCTGCTGTGGGTTGCATGTTTTTATTACACAATTTTACTCAAGTTTCAAGCTGATGTTTGACGTTCACGTCCAATCACAGTTTTCATTTGGGTGATAGAAAAGTAACAAACGTCCATGTCAGTAATGTTGTCATTAGTGAAATACAAAGCAGTCAGTTTCCATCCATCAAATGAACAAACAGCAGACATGCTGTCCTTCATGTATAATATGATTTCTTCATTTTCCAGGTGGTAACTATGACGACTAAGAAGCTGCTCATTGAAACACTGAACCAGTTGAGTCCAGAGGACTTTGCTGAGTTCAAGTCACTCACTGAACTGGAGAAAGATCTATCATCCAAGCCAAGGGGCCGACTGAAAACAGCAAACACACAGGATGTAGTGAAGCTGATGGAGGAGATGTACAGAGGAAAGAGTGTGGAGGAGACCAGAAAGGCTTTAATGAAGATGAACAGGACTGATCTGGTGCAGAGATTATCAGGTATCACCTCAGGAACCACAAATAAGACAACAAAGACTTAAATATGTGAGAATACTGCACATAGTTTATCACATTCATATGAAACCAGGTGCTGACTGATAGAAAAATCTCTTGACTCTGTGTTGTGTAGTGAATGATGAACAAAGACGTTTATATTTTCGTGCTGCTTTTTATAACGTGGATTAGAGCAGAATATGTGCAGGTCAGGCAGGCTGGCTCATTACAGGAGGCTCAAACACAGCACACTACAAAATAATAGCAGCTTATAGCCGGTGTGCAGTGATATTATGTGACTGTTTCAGGACTTCACAATTACAACAAACCACTGAAACTCTTCTTATTAACAGTTAGACAGTTACAGAGGTCACATGCTCTGTATAGTGGTCGCACACATGCTGATACCTAATGATCCCACACAGTGCAGTGATCCACTGCCTCTGAGAGAGGGCGCCATTGAGCCAATAAACATCACAAATCCATTGTGGTTATTATGGAATCACACACAACATAAACACTGTTACACAAGCTCAGTTACAGTATTTTGATCCGATCAGAACAAAAACATCCAACATCATTCAACATGGTTGGAAAGTCTTCAAGCAGCTCTACAGGTTATAATTATGTCACTATTAACCCTCATCATACTGACTGAAGTCTGTGGTAGATTTTTGTCATACCTCACAGATGTGTTTTTTTCTATCATTTAAATTTTTAATGAATTTGTTAGTTTGTTGCTAATGTTTCACACAATTTTCTATTTCTGCTTTGATTGGTGCTTCTTTAAAAATACAAATGTTTGTAGGTGTCAGAGGACTCCAGTCAAACAATTCCACCTTTACAGTTTTAATAAATGGGACTTATTAACTGTATTGTGAATTTATTCAGTTGCAGCTGGTCCTAAATTAAAGCAACACACAGTATCTGTCAGTGTTTATAAAGAAGAAAGACTCAGATGCCATCACTGCCTTCATCGTCTGGATGGGGAACTTTCCAGACTAGAAGTCATCAGAATGTTGGAGACGTAGCTGCATCTACTGTACCTGAGAGAGCTGGAGTTCTCTGGTCACGCAACCCATATCAAGGAAGCATGTAACAGACACGCATGTGCAGCACGCTTTGGAGAGACAAAGCGCTTCATGGAGTCACGACCTCCAGCTCTCACTGGGGCAGTTTGAATCTGAATGTGCAACAAGTGGGTGAAAGTAGCACCTCCAAGTTTTAGGCCATGGTTCTCAGCTGGTAAAGGGTGGAGTGCTCACTCCAGGTCACGGACGAGTTCCCCCATTTGGAGGAGTTTAAGTATCTAAGGGTGTCGTTCACAGGGGAGGGGAGAGTGGAGCAGGAGATTGACAGATAGATTAGTGCTGTGTTTGCAGTGGTGTGGATGCTCTGCTGATCTGCCCTGGTGAGGAGAGAGCGGGCCCTGATGTTTTAGATTTGTAGGTGGAGCTATGTTCCTGCCCATGCATATGGTCACAAGCTCTGAGGACTGAAAGAATGAGATTATGGATACAAACAGAAATGAGTTTCCTTTAAGTCTATCTGGGAATGTCCAAGTTATGTCCAAGTTACGGTTGGTTAGCATGGGAGAGGCAGCCTGGGACCCTCATTGGACAGAAACGCCCGGTCTGGAGTCGACTCCCGTCACGTTCAAAGACATGTAGTGTATATTTATATATGTGTGTGAGTATATATACACACACATAAAAGTGATCAGAGTATCCTGTGTGTGCTCTCATTCACAAAGTTAGGCCTCTCTCTAAAATCATTATTAACGAGTTAACGAGGTTTAAGTGTCACTTTGATGTGAAATCTTTCATGTTCTAAATCCTCATAAAGCCTGATGATAAAACAGTTTCTAATCTGACTTTTTCTCTTTCTTTTCTCCTCAGACAAACAGTTTCCTCCACTGAGCCAGAGAGTGAGTAACGTCACATCAGTCGACTTCACACAGTTCAGCTTTGATTCAGTAGATGAAGACTGAAAATGATCTTCATCTTCAACACAAATCATACACATGAGATTCAAGCTGCAGCTTTGTCATGTACACATGAGTTTTATACATGATTGGTATAGAAATATTAAACCTTATTTACATTTTAAAAGCAGATTAAATTCAAGTCTTTCTGTTTATCAGTAAAGATGCGAGCAGTTAAAGCTCCCCTCTGTTTGTAAAATCAGGAGACTCACTGCAGTTTTTGTAGCTCAGTCTTTGACAGAGTTACAGTCAGGCAGTAAAACAGAGTCACAAACCTGTTCATGAAAATTAAATCCTTCAAAAGAGGAAAAAATGAGCCAAGAAATAAAAACCAATCCAAGCAGGTACCCACCGAGCACCAGATGTTCATGGAGGTTATTTTCTGCTCGACATCTGGTCGACCGTCATGACCTTAAAAAGACGCAGCTTTATGTCTGAAGGTCAAAGGTCATCTTTTCAGGTTTTTAGAAGGAATTGGATTCAAACATGAATTTATTTTAGCACACTAAAATGTTTCTGTTGATTAAAAATCAAGCAGACATTTGAATGGTGCATCGCTGTCATGTGACCTCTGTTTTTACCAGGTGGAAACGATGGAGTCTCTTAT